AAAGGGCCAGTTTTTCTGAAATTCGTGCTTTAAGAGCTAACTCACTTGTGACATTTTTTTTTTTTGAATTGCATGCAAGTTCATGAGTTCTTTGACCCTTTTTTTGCATTGTTATATTTACTATGGGCACGCTATATTATAGTAATGTTTTCTACTGTTCGTGAATCCATTTGTGATAAATTTGTATAATTTTACGATATTGCTGGAGTGCGGCACATCATACATAAAACAAATATGTAGAAAGGCCAATCTAGACTGCATGTTCCTTATCGGAAATCTACAAGCTTTACATCTTAATCATATTTCCTGAACTTCCCATTGCAATGTATCAGCTAGATTGCTTGCGTATTTTTTGAGAGAATACATTTATTGGAAATTTAGTTTCTGCATATTTTCAAAGATTAATAAACAGGTAAGGATTGCTTTGATGGGTACATCATCTTGTTTTTTTCTGGGCATACACGATGTTAGAAACACTCTGTTATCTGCCAACCAGCATGTGTCTTATCACAGTGAAATTATTATTTGGTGTGTCTGGAGGTCTGTGTCAGAAAACAACTGATCTACTCCATCAAGCCCTCCACCAAGAAGATGCAGAGAGTGGCATGACTCACGTATGGCTCAATGCAGTGTTATGCGGGAGCAACGTAGACGGGAGAAGCAGAGAGTGAAAGGACCATCTATCTGTTGGTACTATTTCCAGCCCAGCTCTTTGTGCCACAATACTGTTGTAGAGGGAATGCTACTCATAAAGCCAACAGACGCAAGGGCCAATACTGAGCAAACATACCCAGGTCCAACATACTGAGCCAACATACCTAGTGGCCACATAATGAGTAATCATACCCAGAGGCCACAAACTGAGCCAACTTACTCAAGGGCCACATACTGAGTTGGCATACTCAGAGGCCACATACTGAGCAAGTATACCTAGGGGCTATCTAGTAAACTAGTATGCACAGGGGATACATACTAAGCCAGCATGTGTATTATCTTGTAGGCCAGCACAAGAGAGGAGGATACTCACTTGAGTACAGCACAAAAGCACAATGACGTAGCACAAGAAAGCACTATCACTCCAGGTGGTATATATTCGAAAAGCACTTTGCATGGTCCCCTACTAAGGCATACTCTAAGTAACAAAACAGCTTCAGTTTAATAAAGCCATTTTGATGTATAAATAATACCCCTGCAGTCTTTAGATTCACACCTCCCATGACTTAGAGTCACATAGACTCAATGAAAAAGGGTTTCATTTTAAACTGATCTTATAGCACAGTGTGTTTACTTTAGAAATCCTTGGTAAGTGCTAACACATGTCTCTTTCTGTACAATGTTATTTTTATTTTTTTTGCAAAGCATTGCCAGGTAGTATTTTCTTCATGTATTATCTTTCACAGGCAATTTCAGATGATCAGACTATTATTGTTTGTGATAGCATTGTAGACAGTGGAAGAGTTAATGCTTTGCATTTCCAATCTTACAACTTGGTTTACTTTTAAAATATGTCCCAATGTTCTATCTGTCAGATTCCCATAAGGGGTACCTGGAGGAGGGGTATATTTTGCCACCCTAGGTGAAGTAAATTGCACCCTTACCCCTCCCTATAGGTACCATCAATGAGTTGAACTACCATCAGTCTATCCAAATGCATGCAGAAAGGACTTTTCACATTTTAAGTGCCAACAATGGATCAAATCTGGCAATATGTCAGACATTGGAGAATAAAAGATCTCCTCAACAAGATCATATGTAGTGCATATGCCTGCTCTAGTAGCAACCACACAGTTTCACCTCTCTCTTCAACCTGGGCAGTTAAAGGGACAATAGAGTCACCAGAATAACTACAGAATAATGTGTCTGGTGTTCTGGTGTCTACAGCCTGTCCCTGAAGACATGTAAACACTTCCTTTTCAGAGAAGAGGCAATGTTTATATTACAGCCTAGAAACACCTCTGTGTCAGTCACTTGGACGGCCACTAGACGTGTTTCCTAGATCAGTACAGCACAATGTGCAGCACTGATGTTCAGCGTCTCCACGTTCTGCATGGAGGCGCTGAATGTTCCTCATAAAGATGTATTGATTCAATGCATCTCTATAAGGAGATGCTGATTAGCGCAGTGTGGCATTTTGCTGTACATGTGCAACAGCCTCCTAATGCTTTCCAATGGATTGCAAGAGATCATCAGGTTTGATGATTTCAGCCATGGAGGCTGAGCGGGGAAGGAGTCGCACAGCACTGGAAAAAAAGGTGAATAAAATGACCTTTTACTTTGCTGACAGGGAGGCCGGAGAACTAAACGGCACTATTAGAACTATAGTGTCAGGAATACATGTTTGTATTCCTGACACTATAGTGTTCCTTTAACCATAGAGTGGGACAAGATATGATGTGAAACCATATTCTCTCCTCTCAAACTCTGCTGCATGGAACTGTAAGGGGAGCTGCAAAAGCTGTCTCTGTCACAGACAGAGACTGCTTACTCCCTCACTAAACACTGGAGAAGCCACCCTCTCACCTAGTAAGGTAAGCAAAAGGGAAAGTGGTAGCTATAGGTAAAAATAAGCTTAAAGAAATGGGGTTGGGGAAACAGAGGAATAAAGAAAGAATTGGGTATTGAAATGGATAGAGAGGAAGTCAATGGGGCAGTAGGAAGGACAGGGAGAGCATACTGGAGAGATTAAGTGCTTTGAGTGCGTTTGCAACATGGGGTTTGGGTGAGTTGAATAGGAGCAACCTTTTATTAATGGACCTTTTATTAATTTAATGGGCTAAACCTGCTCCCAGTGTTTTATTCAGACTATGGCCTCTAAGTCTTCCTGTGATCTGTCTGTGAGAAATGCACTAAATTAACCTTTAAACAACAAAATAAAAACAGCAAAATAAAACAGAAAATATAATTTTGTAAATATGAGTACAGAAAGCTTACCCGACCCATGGTGTGTTAGGAGATATTTGAAAACATACTGGTGGTGATACATAATAAATAGTCTTTGCCTTAATGCAGTTAGATCCAGTATAATTTAGACAGAGACCCTTGATTTCTCTATGACTTGGCGGAAATGAGATCTTGGCGTGTGTATTATTAATGGGGAATACGTCCACTCTTAAAAGAAAACAAAAATAGTTTATTGTTAGATTGATTGAAAAATATGGTTTGTATTCATTTATACACAAAGACTTTACAAATTATCTCAATTTTACCTTATGATATTCCATTTTCCTGAATAATGTGTCCCCTAAATTCTTTAGATCCAGGGCTGAACCTTCTACCTATGGGTATCCAATTTCCCTCTTCATTTTGGAACCTCTTCTCCCGCTTTATAGATTTTGCTCTTCTCATCTATTTTCAGTGCTCATTGTCCCATTTTTATGAAGTCTGTCCTCTTTATCGGACCGTGTATATCAATACAAACTCCCATCTTCATTTTAGCTTTATTTTTTACATCTAATTTTCCTCTTTTACTCCATCAAGACCCATACTCATTTTAACTGTGCCTAGCTGTGTAATTCATTTCCCCCATTAATTTTCCACTCTTTCATCAACTCCACGTATTGTTCTTTCTTTCCTTGTTGGTCTCACCTTTCCATTTCAACTCAAATCTATGCAATCCATATCAATTTCCCTGTGATGGATAATACCTGGGCTAGTTTTCCTCCAATTTAGGGATATTGTAGTGGTTTATAAAATTTTGCTGTAAGGTTTTGACACAGATTAAGAGGAGTGCCCTGACCTTCCCCCATTCTAAATTGTCAAACTGTGTTTGAAGGGTATCTACTCAGGGGTCCATCGAGCACCGCTCCCCACCATCACTACTAATGCTGGAGAGCTGAAGGTTCCTAAGAAGGAACTCTGTTAGCCCTCCTGAGCCAAGCCCTCATCAGCTGAGGCATTCCTGCTTGGGAACTTTTGGCTCTCCAGCATTAGTAGTGGAGATATGGAGTGGTGCTTGGACCCCATGTAAGTTAAATCATGATAAAATGATGATGGGGTATGCCAACATATTACTCACACCATAATAACTACCCCAAGCTGTAGAGGTTAGCATGCTTGGAGTGTTACTTTAGCTTGTTACAAAATTCAAGGAGCCATCTGGCTGGACATTGTGACTATCCTGCTGGCTCTGGGTCTCACTTTTGTAGAAATGTATGAGGACACAGTGTAACACCATACTACACTATAAGCAGATTCTCATCTCTGTGATATGAGCAGCTGCATCTTATGACAGCATTGTTGTCTTCTATGATTCTCATGTATCTTTTGTGGTTTTAAAGGTTTCTAGCCACCGCTGGCTGTAAGAAAAATGTTTATCTATGTTGAAGTGCACGTGACTTAAATTCTTTTTTATCATTGTTGGCACAGATAGTGTAAATGTAAGTGGTTGGGCTTTATCAGCTTCCTTTATTGTTATTGACTTTAATGCAAAGTAAAATACAGGGGGAGTCAATGAAAAATAAACAAATAATATGATATGTATACTTTTTAATCTGTCCAATTTTGTTAACCAGTGCATAATTCATGAGAGAAGCAGTTTTATAGGAAAGTACAAAGGGTTAGACATTTGCAATATATGCCATGACTTATTCTTTTGCAAGCATATGTAAAGTTCTCTATCTAAATAATTACTGTTCTTGCAGACATCCCAAGTTTCCCAGAGGTTCGGGGAGAGTCCCGCATTTTGAATGCGGCTCCCTGACACCCGCAAATCATATACAATATCCTGGAAATCGCATACACAATCTAACGTACAATGTATATCTGAATGTGTGTGTTTAATTTCCAGGATATACTATATAATTTGTTTACCCCCCCCAAATACTCACTAAATAGGAACCCGAGCCCTTTAATATCAGCTGGCAGAGAGGAAGTCACAACCTGTCACTTCCTCCCTGCTTTACAGAGCTGCCCGGGAGTAGTGATGTCACGAACCGTTCGCGAACTTCCCGCGAATGGCTCACTGCGGTTCGCCACGAACCGTTCGCGGCAAGCTCCGGTCAGCTGACACATCCCGGCCAATCTCCAGCAGACCCTCCCTCCCAGACCCTCCCACCTCCTGGACAGCATCCATGTTGAAGGCAGCTTCAACATGGATGCTGTCCAGGAGGTGGGAGGGTCTAGGAGGGAGGGTCTGCTGGAGATTGGCTGGGATGTGTAAGGTGACCGGAGCTCGCCGGGAAACGGTTTGAGGCGAACCGTGGCGAGCCGTTCGCGGGAAGTTCGCGAACGGTTCGCGACATCTCTACCCGGGAGGAATGGAGGTTGGAGGCAGAGGTGGTACCGGCAGTATGAAGGCAAAGGAGAGGATGGAGTGAGCTGCTGCTGCATGCTCACTCCCATCAGCCTCACCCAGTACCAGAACTCCAAGCACCCCACCCTCCTGGACACAAATGTAAGTTATCAGGAGGGTGGCTGCAAATATATATCTGTATGTCAGTGTGTGTATCTGAGTGTTAATGTTGTGGCTCCAGTCAAGCCCTTTTTGGAAACACCTCGTGGTGCTCTCCTGTGCTTGCACTCTTTTGCTTATGGTTCTTTTCTCCATAATAACTGCTACCTCTGACCCTTGCGGAAACCATTTTGTTCTTCATCCTGTTATAACAAAGCTATGCACCGTTGCCTGTCTTCGTATTATATGTTCTCCTAGATAGCATTGTCTGTAAGTATTCCTTAACCTGCCCTCCAATGCTATTATTTTATTTCTCTGTGTTTGTAATATAGCTAGTTTAGTATTTCCTTACTAGTTCCCTTTCCTGTATTACCTCAGTCCTTACTTAGTTACTATAGCCTCCATTCTGTGGTGTATCGTTCAGACTACATCTCTTCTTTATGTCGCCTGAATGTGGGAATTAGCAATTTACTATGCAGCCTGTTATGATACTGTCTTATTCATTTGCAGGTCATTTGTTCCATCGCCTTAGTAACTTCACTCATTGAGTTATGTTATTTTGTATTTGTGTATTGCAATATTACTCTTTCACATGGATTGCACTGGGTTGGTGATGAGCATATAAACCCTGGATTGACATTGTCCTCCTCATCCATGTGGTCTGTGAATAGAGTGTATCTCTCTGTCAAGCCCTGTAGGGGAATACTGAGTGAGGACAGAACAGCCATCACAGTGATACACAATAGTAAACTGTACAGCAATTGATGAATTGTATATGTGGTGTGTGATCCTAACATAAAATAGATTTCTAAGAAATAAATTTACCAATTCATACGATATCTTAAACATATTTTCACCCATATACTTACTGTTCTGGGTTACAGCTACTGGTGCCTATTAAGACCAGTTTTGATACATTCTCAAGGTGTTGACCTGAAATCGACATGTTTTGCTTCCCAAAAACTGAAATTCGGTCAAGTTCTAAAGATATATTGACCTGTGAAGCAATAAGAAAAGTTACAAAAAATAAATCCCACATTTAAGGGTATGCATGGGGTAAACATTAACCGAGTCATTTCATCATTTTATATGACTACAAATCAAAAAAATACTCAGTCAGATCTTTATTAAATCCTTTATGTACAGCAAAACAAAATTAAATTAGCTCACAAAGCCCCGTGTACTTTCCCCTTTGGTCTAGCTGTGTTTTTTGTTTTTACCAACCATTCTGCCTCTTTGCATTACTGTAAAGTGAATGGAAATAATGAACCACCCTTACTCTCCACATTCTACAGCAGACTTTGGCGGTTGTATTCTATAAACCAGGTTTGTGAGATGACAGAGTGTGGTCTCTGAGCAAACTAGGCCTTCTACGGCAATTCTTTGTAATGTCCTATATATTGTTTGCACATCTTGGTATATCAGTACTATACATGCTTGTGGGCATTAGAACCATATAGAAACATTATTATTACACTCTGGTGCTATTTTAAGAAGCCATATTCTCAGAAATGCCAAAAGTTCCTTACAAATGCACATAATTGGGGTTATTTTTCTGTGGTGGACCTTGTAACATTCCCTGTGGTTGCCCGAACCTATCTTCAAGTTTCCCGAACTTATACGTATCCCCCTGTTCGTGGATCAAGCGGAACATGTGTGGTCCCCCTTTTTATTAAATCAGAACACCGACCACCCCTGTCTGTTAACCACAATTAAAGGATTAATTTAAGTGCTTTCCATTGATGGCTGCCATTCGTATAACCGAACACAGGTGGTCCAGTGCATGGTTGCCATTTTGTCTCCCGAACACAGGCCGCGGTACTTGGTTGTCGAGGGTGAGGAACTCATTTTGGGTACACGAGCTAGCGAACCCCGGCAAAGAATGTGCCGCTGCCTGTCCAACTTCCCGACCAGCTACACAACGACGTTCGGAAATAGGAACTACCGACTGGGCAGAGCATTTGCTCCCTAAGAGACAGATTCAGGGGGAGCGTTATTATCCCGTTATTAAAATATTTATATGTGGATAGGGATTTGCGATAATGCACAGGTAACTTTTTTTGGTTTTAGAAGGATATAAGTTTACGGGGGGTTTTTTTTTTTTTGCTTATATAAATTTACTCAACTTCTAAAAAGTCAAGGAGACTACAAAAACCTGAAATAGAATGTGCAGAGTACTCGTGTCTAAACAAATAGAGAGATTATGCTCATTATTTAGGTCATCCTTACAGCAGCTGATGGAGATTGGAAAGCCGTTCATTGCTGTACAGATCAGAGCAGTAGTTCCAAACCTTTTTTTAACAGTAACCTAAATTATCTGTACAACATTGGCACAGCGACCCATTATACAATTAAAAACACACTCTCTAACACTAACTAAATACTTATATTATAATGTAGTATATAACAAAATAAATTCTGCAAAACAACTTTATTAGGCTCTTCTCAATGTGAAGAAGGTTTGTTTTGTATTTAGTATTATAATTCACTAAAGTGAGAATTTTTTGAAATTCAAAGTGAATTTAAAATTTATGGACAAAATACCTCAACTGGAAAAATTATCCAAGTCAGCTAGGCTTTCAGTTCGGCTACTCTGCCTTAAATTTGAAATTCCCAAAAATTGTCACTTTAGTAAATAGGTATGCACAGAAAGATATTTAGTGAGGAAGTTGCCTAACTTATTTATAACTAAATAATGGCACAGAGACCCAATGTTTTTCTCCTGACCCAGGGGTTACAAATAGATTAGAGGCTCTGCCAATGTATAGATGCACATTGTGCCTAAATCAGCTGGATGAAGGCCCCAACTTAGTTAAGAAATAGAAATGAAATACTTTGTGAGACTTGCTGTAGCTCACCACAAAATTAGAAGAACTGCACAGAATGGAGAACTATAGGAAGTTGGTTGTTATGTTTCCAAAATGTTTCGTTTGGGCGGCGGAGCTAGCAACAACCGAGTTCAGTTGCACTCACTGAGAGCTCTGTGCTTTATAATTACTGTGACAAACTGAACCTCATCACGGGTTCTTGGAGGGGCCTGCTGGCCAGCCTCTTGCCTCAGGACTATGGGCCTGCAATATACCTTGCCCAATTTTAAAAGGCTCAGTTTAGGTGATTTATGTACTTTGGTACTCCAGAAAGAGAGACCGACCGTTAGCCCTGGTTCCCTGGAACTGTTTTGGGCATAGGACCGGTCGGTCAAAATTATGACTTCCATGGAAATCCCGAACCCCTGAACTGATCTGGGTAATCTTAGGATATGATGGTCCCCCAGATTGGGGCTATCAGGAGATGTGACTTTTGTGGGGAGGATGTTAAAACGTGTGTTTTCTGTGCCTGGAGATAATTGAGTTTAGTATACTTCCTGACTCGACAAACTCTCAGGTACAGGGGAGGGATTATCCTGGACCTGAGAGCCAATGTTATTACAGTGTGTACTTTGTCATAGTCCCCTCTCAGGTCCAGTGGGGAATGCCCCTGGAATATGTAAGAGTAAACCCCTTGCATAGGCCAGTTGTGGCTGCCATTAAAGGAGTTCCTCTTCACCCTCAACATAGAGCCTCGTCTCATGCTTGGAGGGGACAGCTATATTCACTCTAGGGTTTGCTATAATAACTATACTCCCTTGGATTACAACACTTGCTCTTGTAAGAGCAGCCTGCTTTACTCTCTGGTCTAGGAGAGGTCTACCCACTGGAAGCTGGATCCTGGCCTTGGGTCCAGGGTGGGTGGAGGACAGCTCTATATTCTTTTTTTAAAGGCTTGTTCTTAAACAGTTTGTTAACCTTCTTCTGCCCTGATACCACAGAGGTCAGGAATACAGAAACTTGAATGACAAATCACCAATTCAGGGCAAGGGTAAAAACATGATATATATATATACACACACCTCTGAGAGGTAGATGTTTTCTGCACGCCAGTCCTCTCACTTGCAGTTTAGCATGCTACTTCCAGCCCACACAGGAGAAACAAAATAAAAGTCTCTCTTACCTTTCTCCCAAGGAAGGATTTATTTCCTTTACTGCTGCTGATAGCAGAGCACTGGGTTGGAGTCAGTCTGAACTCCTGACCTGGACTTAATTTCCCCTAAGTTCTCTGTAAACTGTGGAGTGGAGCACCGGCCCACCCTACTCTCCGACTGCTCCACCCCAGGGCCCCACATCTAACTATTTATAGTGTTGCACACTGCACCCCTGTGGTTAAATATCATATGCCTCTCTAAAAAATATAGACTGAATATACACACCATCACATACAACACCATGCACCTTATCACTATATATATATATATATATATATATATATATATATTGTAGCAGGCTGGCCGGACCTTGGGTTATAAACCACAGAAACAGTTCTTTCTTCCAATATGAGGAAAGCTTTATTTAGCAAGCCGACCTTACTTTAGCCACAACAAAACATTGAACAAAAATATAATTCTACTTCACACTGGAGACTAACTAACATAGAGTACCCTTTCTCAGGCCCGGACTGGCCATTGGGCATACCGGGCAAATGCCCGGTGGGCCGCGATGGCCGTGGGGCTGAGGCCGGCAGGGGAGTTCACAGGATCTCCCCTGCCAGCCCCTGCAGGGCCAGCGCTACCCGAGCACCAGCCCTGCTGTGTGCCCTCATGGACCGGTGGGGGATATTTAACCACAGGGGTGCAGTGTGCAACACTATAAATAGTTAGATGTGGGGCCCTGGGGTGGAGCAGTCGGAGAGTAGGGTGGGCCGGTGGAGCTATCCCTCCCTCTCTCCCTCCCCTCCC